ACATTCACCTCAGGTCTTAGGCATAAGATAGTTTCAAAAAGTAAAATTTGAATCCCACAGACTTTTGTGTATTTTTTTCGGTTAATGACATGGTGCGCTTGTGAGCTAATTATTCAACCACAGAATAATGTCGTTCAAATCTTGCCGATTGGCATGCACCAAAGTAACCTTTTGTCTTCCATTCTCTTTTTTACCTCTTTAAGAGCTTTCTTTGGTTGAGATCTGTCAAGGTAGGATACAAATCGTTCTGCTTAGAGATAGTCACCCCAAGCGAATTCTAATTCTGTTGGGGTTTATAACCTCCTTTTCCGACTTTGGCACTTGCTTGCTAGGTTTAGGAATTTCTTGCAAGTCTTTTGGTAAATCTGCGCCACATACTGAGTATATTGTCTTATTCATGTCTAGCAGTGCAACACAAATACTGTCGTTGCTGGTGGTTGTAGCTTTTTCTGTCCGTGTCTTGCTTGGAAAAACCTCGTGCTTTCAAGTCATGAAACTAAACTGTTAGATTGATACTAATAGATTGATACTAAACTGTTACACGACACTGAAACTCATGATATCCTATTATTCTGTTAAATTTAGAAAATTTGTAGCTTTTGACATAACCTCATTTATGTATTGAACTGGGTTTTATGCAATGATGAAAGAAGAACATGTTACAGCTTACAGCATTGTTTCCTCTCTAGAGTTGCTATAATCAGACTTGCTTATGACTAGCGTTTCCTACGTCATAGTATAATATACATGGGTCAATAAGCTATAATTTAGTTTGAAAGCATATCCAAAGATGGTTCTTCTCCGCCACGATTCCCAACGTACAGAAGTGGATTGAAAACAAAATATCAGTCCTTTACTATATTCATACTACATTAATTCTTTTTGTAAAAAAAGACGCCCGTTGCCTCTTTAGGATACTCCAAGATGCCGAACAGAAACAAGCTCCGAAATGTGCGCTTTCAACGAAGCATGCGATGAGGTGTGCGAGAATCCGGTTGGCTACAAATGCCGGGCGTTAGGTAAGCTCTCATTTCGTGACGTCATTTTTTGTTTCAACTGGCGCTATGACTTCCCTGAAAATCATCTTTTCAATTGTTTACTTTTCGATTGCTCTTGAGTTATAGTGACTCCAGACTAAAAAGTATCATCTTTAAAAACATCATGATTCCTGAATGATAGTGAATGAGAAATATTTTCATAAAGGAAACATAGCCCTTGGGAAGGCAACAGCGCAGACGTCAACGTGTTCTTATGGTTATTCGCCTAGAGCTGTCGATGGAGACACTCGCACCAGCTGGATCTACGACTCTTGTACACATACCTGTGAGGGGACATCAAATTGGTGGCGTGTGGATTTTGGAAAAAGCTCTTTGGTGCACTCAGTAAAAATTACAAACAGAGGTCAGGCTATTTGGATATTTTCAGGATTTTCAAACGATTCCACAGTTGTTTTAAATGTTGCATCCAAGTGTGATTCTTATCAACTATAGATACCCCCTCCCATGGTCTAGAAAGAAAATAATATGGAAGCAAATGATTATTAAAAGAAGCAAAGGGTGGAAACAATGAAAGGATTAAACTTCTTAAATACTATCAAATAATTTGAATAGATGGGAAATAGCAAAATGTGTTGCACAAGTCCATTTGAGAATAGAAATTTTTTAACCTGCTTATTCCAACCTGGAATATACGCTGTTTCATTTTCGCATGTCATCTGTCAATCTTAGCAATAACTCAAAAAAAATAAGAAAATTTTGTTTAAGTGCAACCAGTTTTGGTCAGTAAAGATCATTTAAATGATTGATATACGTTCGTTATTTGATCACGTCATATCTATTTCTCTTAAGGTGACTGCTGCGGTAGCCGTCTTTCAGACTTCAACATCAGAATTGGCAACAGTACGACAGGAAATGGGGACAATAATTCTGCTTGTACTGTCAATCAAGGAATTGCACAAGGTGCCACGAAAACATTTCTTTGCAGACCACGTATTTATGGCAGATACCTTTACGTTCAGTCAAACATAACACCAGGTTTGACCCTTTGTGAGGTGCAAGTTTTTGGAGAATAACTAGCATTGGACGTTCTCTCGATGCAGCAGGGACCAGGTAGTTACATTCAAGTAATGTAAAGAGTTCAGTAACGCAAACATACATTAAGGATGGCATTATAATGTCCTGCATTTATGGGTATGCGGGAATTTGGGATGCTCGTCTTTGATTCCCACGAATTTGCCGTATTTGAAAATATTTTTTTGGGTCATCATCGCATCAAGTCTGATAATATTAGCTTATCAAAAGCACTTCTCTTCGATGATAACATAAATTCTTGGTCAAACTTTCACCAAACATTGAATTTAGAAATAAACCAAAACTTGTTGATTGTGGTCAAAAATTGCATCGAATATTCAAGAAAACATTTCAACAGGCTCAAGCGCGCCATGGCAAGGGTGTCATATGTACGTATGCACAGTGTATAATTAATGAGATTGTTCAATGAAAGTTTTCCAAGTTGCCCAAACGCATACAACATTTTACAAAACATTGGGAACCGTTGAAAGGCTCGGTGACATTTTTGAACTCCATCGAAAGATTTCCAAAACTATTGAACAAGATTTTGTCACCGAAAAACGTGGTAAACAAAATCAATTTTTCCCAGAACAGAACGTGAATTTTGTTCGGTGAAATGTGTAGCTCCTTTGATCGTGGCAACTTCCCGGTGCCATGGCTTCTTGGGTCTTGGAAGGGTGTGGGGTGGGGGGAAGGGGAGGGTTGGTAACTAAGCCTAGTTCTGGACGGGGTCGTGCCATTTTGGTTCAAAATTCGGATCCATAATTTCGCACATGTCTGAAAAATATGACTCATCGTTCCACAAAAATGATGCAGTTGAAAACTTTATCTACATTTCCGTAAGGGGAATGAAATTTTCAAAACGCAGAAATCATCAAACAATTTTTCCCCAAATCCTCAATATTACACATATTTCATAATTTCATTTCTAACTGGACATTTATTGCTAAATTCCCCTCTTAATAATTTTGCAGTATTTTCTCAAAATAGTACCCACAATACTGCATGTTTCTTTAATAGGTATCCGTAATTCTGCACATATTTCAAAATCAGATACCGATAATTTTGCACTTTTAAAAAAGTACCCCTTAATAATGGTACGTCCCCGTATCTCAAAACCTATTAAGGTACCCCCCTCCCCCGAGCAAAGCTTCATGCAGTTAACTGCTTTTCTTTTCGCTTGTTCTTTTTTTCAGACGTGTCTTATTTGGGCAAGAATAAGGGTTAAACTTCTAATATTGTAAAGTGAATTCGTACGCAGCGATTTTCATATTCAAGTTACAATTGATTATTTATATTAAATAAAAAATTGATCTGTAAGTTATGACAATAACTCAACTGAGACGTTGAATTGAAAAATGATATAATGAAATTTAATCAGAGTTAATTTCACAAGGGACTTTTGCGTTGGCTGTTACTCTTGAGTTGATTATTGACTATTGAGTTGTTACTCTTGAGTTGAATATTTTTGGTCTCATGTGCCACGCCTTCTCGTGGTTCTCTTGCATTTGCGTTGCTCGTTTATTGGTATTGCGAAGTAGTCTTGGCCTCCTGGGGATTTGTTTAGTAATGCTAGGGTAAGATTTATGGCTTATGGCCATTTATATTCCCTAGGTTATTCTAGGGGTATTTAAGGTTTTCGGCATAGTGTTGGTTTCACTTTGCTTAGTGGGGAAAAGAGACTTTTCTTGTCCATTCCCTCCCCTTTATCAATTAAATTTGGGGGTTATTATGGAAAATCCCTAAGTAACCTCTTCCTGTTTAGATTAGTGGTAGGTTTAGCGATTTGCGCCGATGCACCAACGGCCCAACTCGCTCTCGATGATGTGGGAACATGACTCATGACTGATTTTCTGACGTCGAGGGCATGATTTCTGAAGGAGCTTTTTGCTGGTATTTTATTCACGAGTAGAAAATTAATGAAACATCGGAGTCACGAGTTTTATTGATTATTGGTCTGTTTTTTAACTCTTCTTATTGAAATAGATTCTCGCAATTGTTTTTGGAACATAGTCTAATTGAATTTGCACCATGAATATTTGTAGATATCAAATTTTGTGTTAATTTAAATCTTAAAAGATTCAGATCATGTAGCAGAACTTCGCTGGTCTACTCATTGTGATGAAATTCCTTTATCATCGTCAGTCATTTAGCCATTTGATTGGCTGCTTGTGCTCTTTTGTATTTGTTCAGGAGACCAAACCTTCAGTCCTTTGTTTCGAAACAATACCGTTTTAAACCAATCAGTGTTGCAGGGTTGAATATATCACACGCAGTAAAACAGGCCTAGCTCTGGCGTAAACAACTACATCTTGGATTCAATCACTTCGACTTAATAAAATTTTGATTCCCTAAGGACATTTAAAATGAAGTTTTTTTCACAATACATGACATAGCACATGCGCATTAATAACAGTATTCGAACAGCTGTTCTGTCTTGGACCACACAAGTCTAGAGCTTCTCGCCAGGGCTTCAAGTTGTAGTGCGCATGTGCAATGACCCTGAAACGGGGGCTAGTGCATGTCTGGTAGACCGGTATGATTCATCCCTTGAACAAGTATGGCACGTTGCCACAGTGCTCTGTCCTGTGCTTGGCGAGTGCCATCCAAACTCCTGATGGTATCCGTCCACCTGCACCTTGGTCTACCTCTACCACGTCTTCCATCCACATATCCAGCATCTTTTCCAGTGACGATGTCGTCATCGCCATTCCTTCTTACTTAGCTCAAATTGTAAAACTGATGATTTCTCAATTAGATTTTTAAATTCATATAAAAGAAAATATACCTCTCAATAGACTAGAAGTCAAGCCCATTTCCTGCCAAATTGTTACTCTAAAAAGCAAAGGTGTACAAAATTAATTTTAAAAAGAAATTCTTTCCCAAATGGACCATTTTCACATGAAAAAAACAATATACGTTATTCTCTTTTGAATTCCCGCCCCTCTCTAATATTCCCGCACTCTCTGATAGTCCCGGATCTGTTTATACTTAAAATAATTAATCCTACCTCTCTGATAGTCCCGCATGCGGGTTTGTTGGAGAAAAGGAACCGTCTAACCATCCACTTTCTTCACAATTAGCATGCAATGTTTCCGCGCAAGAAACACAGGAGAACAAGTTGGAAATTCAGGCTCGCTTTTTTAAAAGATACACCTTACCCATCATATTGCATACAACAGTCAATTCATCTTACAGAAAAAAGTCCATTGATCTTGCAGAAAATGTGCGATTGGCATAATCGCTGTTTTTTAACACATTACTGTATCGAAGTCAACTGTTTTCAAAATGTTAACAGACATCAAGGTAAATGGTAGATATTATTAGATTAATTTCCATCAAATATTTTAATTTTTTGTTGTTGAATCCTAACCACCCTTAATATTCTATTTAAAGCCAGTTTTCTCTATTAAACCAACTTTTCATATTATCAGTGATCGGTAATCATCAGTGATTTTGACATATAAAAACTAGACAATCGGGAGCTATCAGTGATCATCTCCGATTATCTCTAAAGGTTGATTTCCCCGAAGTTAGACGAGAAGATAGCAAAGGATCGGTAGATGCAAATAAACAGCTGATTCCGAATGTGGTGTCCAAATGATGACTATTTAAAAATACTTAAAATCTACTTCATCAGAAAGCATGTACCAAATTTGAAGTGGTGTAAAGCGTCACCTTTAATCTAGGTCTAAAAAAGGTCTGATCTAACTCTCAATACAAACTGAGCTGTGCGAGAATTGATTGGGACTACTTAAAGAAGATAAGTGACAATTAAACTACTGACAAACGCTAGTTGAAGAGCATGAATTCTATGTCATCTTCTGTAGAACATTTGCAACTTTGTATAGCTGTGCACGGTAGTATTTTTCTTTCTACATTTACAGTGTTTGCTTCCTCCTCGTGCTTACATCAATAAAAGATCATATCCAGACTACAGAGTGCGAGGGGAATGAATTCTGCTGCCGTTAGAACAGGCTCCAATCTATCTGCTGAATAATCCGAAATCTATAGGTGACGGTAAATCAAGAAGTGTGCTCTTCCTATGTGAAGGTGAACTGGGACGGATCACTGGTCTGGATCAATGCTTCGGGTTTTCCTTTCATGCAAACAGAACCTGTCATGGCTCATTTGTAGATTTTATGTAGCCTGTGCCATGAAGGAAATTGTTCTCGTTTCCGTAATACATGCTCGTTATAACTTCTTTCTTCCAGTTTTTGCTAGAGCTCAAGCGAGTCTCAAAATGCTTTCCATGCAGATGCACTTACATGCCAAGACAAGTACGAAGTTGTGAAACATCCAGTAATAGTGTTAAAAGGGATGAGCTCTCTCGTAGATCCTCCCGAAAGATCCACAAAGTCGTAAAGAACCCCTTCGACTGATGTATTTTCTCTTCTTTGATGTTCTGGACATCATCCAAAGATGATTTTAGAGCATTCATTCACAGTGCGTAAGCATCTGCATCTCTAGCAAACACTGTATCCCATGTGGCAATGGTAGCATGAAGTGTTTGGTGTCGGTTTCTTAATAGTCTACACTCAGATGCAAAGTGTCTGTGTAGTAGTTCGATGACTAAGGAAGCAATCCATTGATAAATGCAGCCGCTGTGGCAATTCCAACATATCACAATTCTAATGGCTTGGAGCAGCAATATATCTCCTGTTACTTTGTGCAACTTTGCTTGGCATGGATACATACTATTTGCATTGTTCTATATCATACCCATCAGTCTCATCAGTTACATAACTTTTGACGACGGTGCTTCGGAATGTCACAGGTGGCCTTAGTAATCACCTCAGCGTAGTAGCATCAGAAATGAATGCACCCAATCTAGTTGCCTTTTCAAAAAGTAAAGCAGATAAGTAGATGAAAATGGATTCAATTGATGCATGCTTCATATCGCCTTTTAGTTAGGATAAATGTGCTTATTTTCCATCTTATTTTCCTAATTAGAAACGTGATTTTTAGATATTTAAATACACTTTTTTTAAACGCCCAAGATTTTGTGCTAATATTCTTACGACTGCAAAATAACCATAACATAGATTTGGTTGAATAGTTACCAAAAAGACGTCAAAAGTGCCACCTGTTCATATTTAACCTAATGGCATTGTCTAGGTTTTGCCTCGGGAGACCCCCGATAATGAGAATTATCCACGACCATCGACAGAGAATCTGTGCCACCAAGTAACCTATGCATCAGGAACTATCCCTAATGAATTACTGTATACAGAAATCAGGTTTTCGCTGAACCATTTGAATGCTAAAGAATAATCACGAAAGAATAATCAACAACATTAATACTATTTAAGCAAAGTTCTTCCTTGCATTCCGATGAAGAATTTTTCAAAGAATAATCCATTTACATCATCATTCTATTGTTTAAATAATAAATTAATTCAAACACTAGTTTTATTTACATCCTGGCTTGAATAATAATTAGACATGCACAATATGAGTGCATTTTGTTTTCTGCACTTGTTAAAAGTTGAGCATCAAACAAAAATGGATATGGAGAGCAACAGCGATAACTCTTGAAATCCTTTTTAGAAGATTCTTGTAGGAAAGATCTGCAGGAAAGAACAGATGTAGCCATTACAACATCTACCGACACCCTACAATTTCTCTCAAAATCAGAATTTAGCATTTTTAAAAATCTTCATCGGAATACAAACAAGAATAATAAAAGAAAACTATTATTCTACTTGAATATTCTTTTGTCTAACCGGGCCTTAGGACAAGTTTTTTAAAAACCTTATTGATACAATATCTATAATCATAGTAAGACCCATACAATTTTTGAACATTTGAGGAAAACCATCGTTTCAATAACACATAAAGAAATAAGGAATGATTGTTATTGAAGAAAGAAAATACTTAATTTGCCTAATGTGTGAATGAGATTTCTTGCAACAAGGTGGCTTAAGATACAAAGAAAGCACCAGCTTCCGGCATATTAATTATTGCACACAAGGCTCAGGGCTCCAGTATAAACTACAGTTAAACAAAGGAAATTCTATTGCGGGCATTAATCATTGAAGCAAACTAAATCAACCTAAATAGCAATTCACGAATTTAATGCTAGCCACCAGCAAGCTCCCAGTTGATTTAACATGGCAGCACAAATGGTGTCTAGTGCCAATGAATTGACAATGGTATACTATTTTCTTGCCTTCGTTGTTCAACAGTTAATCAAAATGAACACAATTTTCTTATTACTTTCATGTCACATTATAGCAGTTAACGGCGTACAAATATACCGAGGCAATTGCAGGAAAGAATCTCTATTTAAAATTGGAGGCAGAGGAACTAGACTGGATGCAAACATTATCTCTTCTAAAACGTCATCCAGACTATCCCTGTGTGCTAAATCGTGTATTGATGAAGCAAGTTGCAAAAGCTTCAACTACAATGTGGTTGCATTGATTTGTCAGCTGCTTTCGAAAGACAAAAATGACGTTGGTGCAGAAAAGCTTTTGGCCGTAGAGGGTTGGAATCATTATCAACCAGTCGAGTTCATGGTGAGGCACAGGATAATTTGTTTTCCTTTAATATTCTAATGTTATCTTAATGACTTAAAGCTGTTTATTCACCTCCGATTGTTAAATAAGCTACAAGCATGATTAAAAAATACCACAAAAAGTGTGTTCAAAGCTGAGCTTACTTTTGAAACATCTAATTTTAATTATAATGTCGTTCAAATCTTGCCGATTGGCATGCACCAAAATAATCTTTTGCACCAAAATAATCTTTTGTCTTCCATTCTCTTTTTTACTTCTTTAAGAGCTTTCTTTGGTTGAGATCTGGCCAGGTAGGATACAAATCGTTCTGCTTAGAGATAGTCACCCCAAGCGAATTCTAATTCTGTTGGGGTTTAAAACCTCCTTTTCCGACTTTGGCACTTGCTTGCTTGGTTTAGGAATTTCTTGCAAGTCTTTTGGTAAATCTGCGCCACATACGGAGTATATTGTCTTAACCATGTCTAGCAGTGCAACAAAAATATTGTCATTGCTTTTTCTGTCCGTGTCTTGATTGCAAAAACCTGTTTTCGGGTCGTGCTTTCAAGTCATTAAACTAAACTGTTGGATTGATACTAAACTGTTACACTACACTGAAACTTATGATATCCTATTATTTTGCTATTTTAGAAAATTTGTAGCTTTTGACATAACCTCATTTATGTAATGAACTGGGTGTTATGCAATGATGGAAGAAGAACATGTTACAGCTTACAGCACTATTTCCTCTCTAGAGTTGCTATATTTAGACTTGCTTATGAATAGCGTATCCTACGGTGGTTGTGACATTACATAATAATATACATAGGTCAATAAGCTATCATTTAGTTTGAAATATGAAATCAGTTTGAATTTTTCGTGTGTGGAGAAGACTATGGTTGCCGAGAATGCATATCCAAAGATGGTTCTTCACCGCCACGATTCTCGACGCACAGAAGTGGATTGAAAACAAAATATCAGTCCTTTACTATAATGTTCATACTATTTCTTATATTTGTAAAAAAAGACGCCCGTTGCCTCTTTAGGATACTCCAAGGTGCCGAACAGAAACAAGCTCGGAAATGTGCGCTTTCAACGAAGCATGCGATGAGGTGTGCGAGAATCCGGTTGGCTACAAATGCCGAACATTAGGTAGGCTCTCATTTCATGATTTCGTTTATTGTTTTAACTGGCTATATGACTTCCCTGAAAATCATCTTTTCAATTGTTTACTTTTCGATTGCTCTTGAGTTATAGTGACTCCAGACTAAAAAGTATCGTTTTTAAATATTGATTTGCAATGATTGTAAATGGTAAATGATTAACATTCTTCATAAAGGAAACATAGCCCTTGGGAAGGCAACAGCGCAGCATACAACGTGTGCTGGTGGTTATTCGCCTAGAGCTGTCGATGGAGACACTCGCACCAGCTGGATCTACGGCTCTTGTACACATACCTGTGCGGGGACATCAAAGTGGTGGCGTGTGGATTTTGGGAAAAGCTCGTTGGTGCACTCAGTAAAAATCACAAACAGAGGTCAGGTTATTAAGCAGAGAAATTTTTCAACAGTTTCACATTTGTTGTAACTGTTATTCTGAAATAAACTGTTTGACGTGGATGGAACAGGGTTTATTCTAAGAAAACTTTACAATACCACAAGTTCAAGTACAGGGAGTTTTTTGCAAAGCGTTATGGTTTACTGAAAAATGAACAGAAACAACGGTAGAATTAGAACCACTGACTAATCTAAAAAATAAGTCTTGCGTCTAACTTCATTGTTGAAATTGGCATTGGAGACAGCAAATTTTTACGAGGTATAGAGGCAGAAGCGGACTGGCCCACCGGGACACCGGGGTATTTCCCGGTGCGCCCTCTGCCCCTTCTATGTCAAAAATTGTTCATATGTAGCAGCCAGAAGCCTACTCTCACTTGCAACCCTCGTAAGCTTTTAATTTTTCAAGCAAGTACGCTATACTTGAATTAATTTGATATCTATTGAGGTGACTAATAATTTTGTTAAACCCATGACTTATGACTAACCATATTAGTTTTTTGACTTATGGCTTAAGCAAACTATTCCTAGTGCCTGATATCCAATAACTGAGGGCTCGCATATTGGAAAGATAAATTGAGCACTACCCTGTACTCTTTCCAATCAAAATGGTTATAACTGGATAAAATTATCTATCTGTTGGCTATTGGGTATGGGAACGTTCACATATTACGTAATCAAAGATGGGTTGAGCCATAAACTATCCCTTAAGCCTGGTTTCCATATGATCGCAACAGTCGGGAAAGTGTCGGCGACCCATCTGCGATGCGCCTGCGATCGATCGCCGGCAGATATTTCTCTTATGGAAACACTTGTCTGCGATGCATCGGCGACGCCGGAAGACGATCAGGAAAGTTGAACGATGTTCTACTTTCCCGGCAGTTACGATGCTCTCCCGACGCCTGCGATCCACAAATTTTGTATGGAAACACTCATCTGCGATGCAACTGCGATGTCCTATTGTATTTTATCGCACGTGATACCATTTGTCCAATCACGGCTCTTTTCAACAGCCATTGTTTGTCATTGCAAAAGCGCGCGCCATTTTCTAAAATGGCCGACAACGAAGCTGAAGTCGAATTCGACAGCGAAGCATTTATGAATTGTGTTCGCAATTACAAAGTCATTTATGACAGAAATTCACAAGATTTTAAAATTCCATTGAAGAAAAACTTGGAAAGAAATAAGCTTGGCTTTGGGAATCGAGGTGGACGAAGCTAAGAGAAAGTACAACACCATCAGAACAAGGTTTTCAAAATATATCCGCAAAATTCAGTTCCATGGTTACAAACCAACTAGTTGCGCCTAGTTACCGATTGCCTTTGCAAATGGAAACACTTGTCTGCGATGATCGCCGATGCATCGCAGGCGTTGGGACAAAACCATCGCAGATGCATCGCCGACACTTTCCCGGCAGTTAAGATTATATGGAAACAAGGCTTTAATAGTGAAAACTGTTCTAGGTACGATAGAGGACAATACATTCTGAGCGTCCTAATGGTGGCAAGCTATTTTATTTTGCAATTCAACTAAAAACTCATAGGCATCATGCTTTTTGTACGTTACAACCAGAAATTTTGTGCTCAAAAGAAATTATGACTTATTGGAGCCAAAAATCTTGACAACTTTTTAAAAAACGTTATACGGAATTTGTTGAGAATTCATGCCCTCATGTACGAACCTTCTTTAAAACTTAATGGAAAGTTAAACAGGCTGTTTTGAAAAAAGACTGGTTTCAAATTTACAACTATCTATTAAAGTATTCCAATCTTCCTTCAAACTTTTGTTCCGGAATAGAGACTGTGCCTTTTCTTAAGAAATTCTTTATCCTTTTTACCATGTCTACGCACAGTCTCTTGTACAGAAGGAGCCTTCAATCTGCAAATTCATCAATTTGCGCAAAACGGACGGCAGCAGGTACTTTCAAAATCCATTTGTCAAAGATATGTTATCAGATACTTTTCGGACAAGTCTACAGTTTTAAGCATATGTTCAATACCTGATAATAATTCCGCACGTTGATGCACTGGCATCATATCTTTTGTAAATGATTTGTAACTCTAGCGTAAAGGCAGGAGCAACACATCCATTAGGCTAGCAGGTGCTGAGGCACCCCTTTACTTTTTTCAAAGATATGCTGCGAAACTTTCGAAAATTTATGAGAATGAAGTCATGTATTTCGTCAGATTTCTAAAGATTTCGAGATCGATTTTAATCGAAAAGAATCTCCTCTCCTAGGCCAGAGAAGTTGCTTTCTTTGTAAAATCTTGGAAGATAGTGTCTCGCTAGCTGAAAAATCATCATTTGATACCTAAAATTGAGGGCAAAACATCATTTGGTAACTACAAATATTGTCAGTTGTGTAGACGTTTAAAACAAAGTCAATTGGACTGAGAATCTTCTTCATGCCAATGCCAATAATGAAAAAAAACTTTGATTTTCAACATAGGGCATGTTCTGACATTCTAAATAGTGTGATTTCAAAACATTTTCTGAGGGCCATCCCCCGATCCCCTGTTTCCTTTCCTGTGACAATGCTTGCAACAAACTGATTCTCAGCTAAAGTTTTTCCGAGCCCGTTTTACAAGCCCTAAAGTTTTGTGACTTTAGCATCTATTGGCGCCCTTTTGGCTGCTTTTCCCGGTGGGTCAAATGGTTGCCAGTCCGCCACTGCATAGAGGTTAGTGTTATTTTACCTGATAAGAATGCTCGATATAGCAGAAGTACATTTGCTTCATATTGCATGTGTAGCGTAAAACCCTCCTGATGCCGAAGGCAAGTGAGGAACCAGTTTGATAGCCAGGGACGTAAATTGGCAGCGCAGATAATGACAGATACTTTTAGGGGGGAGGGGGGGGGGTGAAGGGCTCAAAATTTCCGACTGAAAAAGGTCAATTCTACTTTTGTTTGAGGGCCTAAACTTTAATAGTTTTTTACCAACAAAACCTTATAAATTGTCTCGTAAATAATTATTCAGCTGTAAGATAAAGTTTCTAGATTTCGTAAGTTTAGAAGATCGAGCAAAAAGACTGTTAGTTTAATTAGTTCATCAATACATACGTAGTCCAAAAATCAGGTGTTAATTTTTCTCCTTCCAGGACTTGCCCATTGCTCCACTATCTTATCTAAATTTACGTTGTCCAAATGTCTTTCTCGCAAGTAAGAATCATGAGGTCGTTTAGTCTTTCACTGGGGCGGCATCAAGAAATTCAAAGTGGGGGGGGGGGTGGGGCTCAAGTTGATAGAATTATTAGATCAAAGAACCCTCTTTTGAAAAACGCACTAAAACTCTTCACGGTATTTCATGCCTATTATTTTATGGGGCACTCATTATGCTAGCGGTACGTTTGAAGGGGCCAGCGGGAAGTTGGCGGAGACCTCGCGGATATTCGAAAGTAGAAAATTTTCACGACCACGCTTTTTAGATTAGGCTAAAATACATTTCAGAATATTTCTTGCAGGTATTTTCTTGCAATCGTTTAAAACATTTTGTTGTTTTTAAGGCATGCTCTTATTACGTTTGATTAATTCCAGTCTTAAAATTGATTTCATCACTTTATGAGGCCCCATAGACCTCGGCGTATTCCTTGGAAATTAAGCAACTTATGGATTTGTCGGATTATTCCTTTCTTTCTATTTTTTCTAGCATTACTGATAAATATTATATAAAAAACTTTATTTCGTATCCCGTTTTTAGAAGCAATTTGATGGAATGATTATGACACTATCCCCATTACGACGAATGTAGTTGAAAATACTTTTATACAAAATTTCCTATTTTTCTGTATTGCGTCGCTTCATTCTTTTTAGGACTGCATTTTACCAAACAACTATTTTCTTTTGAACTTATACCTTCTGTTCATAAGGTGCAGCTGAACTGATGCTTTACTTTGCTTCATAAGGTGACAGTTACTTTTGAACTGTGAGCTACAGTTCATAAGGTCATTTGAGTCAAAACCTCAATTTTCACAAATGATTCAAATTTTTCCCATTAACCTAGCTTTCTACCAATAGCTTTAAATTTTCCGACTGTCCTCAAATTTTCCGACTGGATTAAAGATGTCACAACCCCCCCCCCCCTACACCCCCCAGTATTTACGTTCCTGTTGATGGCAAGTTAAACCTGGTTTCCATCGTTGCGTCAAAATGGAAACGTTTTTGTTCAGTTTACCTGCGATCGTTGCGTTGCCAGCAATCCTTGCATTTGAGATATAAAACTTTTTATATCTGTGATCGCAGCTACCCTTGCGTCAAAGGCAATCGAAGTCTCTCTTTCAAGAGCAAATCTTCTCTTCTACAGTCACGTTGTGGAATCCCAAATATCCAAGATGGCGTTTGCTACATCTGAGAATCACCAATTTATGGAGGAAGTTCAGAAATAAGACTGCGTATACAACAAGTATAACCGAGATTATAAAAACAGGTTTAAGAAATATGACTGTTGGGTGAAGATTGCCTCAAAATTTGAAATGACTCCAGAAGATGCGGTAAAAAAGTTCCGAAATTTCAGGACTGCCTACAGGTACTTGAAAACGAGTAAATCTGTGTCCTCTGGGTCAGGCAGAGATCCCGTATCAACAACTCCTCGAGAATTTGAGAATCTGTACTGGTTCTAAAGTTTATGTTTCCTTTTTCGCTGATGGTCCTTAATTCTCTTCACCAACGCCATTATTCAAAAACAGTTAGCCTGCAGCTAAAATCTTTCCATTTCATTGTCATCTGCTCCCGCCATTTTGAAATTTGATGCCAACGTCTGAAGTATGTGCGATCGTTGCGATAAATGGAAACCACATGACGGCAAAGACACTTTTAATAAACCGACACATTTTGCATACATTTTTAGCAGAGATGTAGTTGTATAGTTTTGACAGGGGGGGGGGAGCTCTATGAAATTTCTAAGTTTTTCTTTTCATGTAGTAATTTCAATTTGAGGATGACGAGGGTTAATGTTTTTCCGTTCTTTGGTTGAGCAGCGAGTTAGGAACATTGGTTGTGTTGAGCGGGCAACTGAGATCAGAACATTGATACCAGGGAAAGGACCAGGAAGAACTTAATTGCAAGTTAAGGGCAAAATGTTTATATTGCTCAGGGGTTTAGTGAAAGCCGCCACCATGGTTGGCGACGAGAGAAATTTGGAAGCATGACATTCTAAGAATGGCCAGAAAATGCATATAAGATATTTGTAGCATTGTTAAGAAAGAACCTTATTTTTAAAATTAATGACCCATTGGTTGGATTTTGAAATGACAAATTTTCTCTTGTGTTAACAAAAGAGAGGTTTTCTATCTATATATGTCAAATTTTGTGTATATTTTCCTGCATATGAGGTTTGCAATGCGTTTAAATCTGTCAGTTGTTCTCTTTTCTTTTTCTGGTTCAATCGTCAATAGCTGACCTGTGGTGAAGTAACAATATTTCGCAGCTTTCTTTGCGTTACATGATTCTTTGCTGTGTCCAAGCACAAACGACGAGGGGGGAGGGGGCTGAGCCCATCTTGTTAACTCTTAAGAAACAATGCGTATTGAAATTTTCAGAACATTAACCCTATCCAGACTAGGGGGGGGGGCACAAAGTGCCCCCTAGTTGGTTTTTCTTTCATAACTTCAGGAGTTTGAAAGCAATACCCCTCAGACCTCCTGACTTTTAGTTCTAACCTATCTGACACATGTTCATATAAAAAGATAATTTTTTTATTATTAATCAGGGGGTTGTGTAGGGGCGTTTTCAAAACTAGTCAAGTAAAAAATAGTTCAATCTGCCACGGATTCGCAACAAAAGTAGATATATTGATGAAAATTAGTATCTAGGCATTAATTTGTGCTCTTTTCATGATTCTGACCAGAAAATTCAAATTCAACATCTTTTTCTATGATTTTTCTGCTGCGCATGCGCACACATCTGTTGACAGATTTATAGGTATTACATTAATAAAACTGCAAGTTTAGAATAATTTGTCTGCTAAGGCATTAAAAATGAACTCAAACATGACATTTGGTTGTATCGATCATTTAATTACATAGAAAAAACTATAGCCAAATACAAAATATGTTGAGTTCTTTTGTTAGGAACGTTAATAATTTTGAGAAGTAACATTAAAATTGTGTCAATCTTCTTGTTTCTATTAGAAAATGCATCAAATTTGCTTATTTCAATATCTTAGCCCGATGCTTTGGAATTAATGAATATTTTAAGATTTTCTAAAATTTTCTAAATTTTTGCTTCACCCGGCCACCATTATGATGACGTCATCGTAAAACCACGTGACTTAAAAATTGAACAATAATACTAAAATGTGGAGAAAAGATAAGAGTACCATCCAAACAAAGTTCATTGTCCTAGCTAGAGGAACAAAGAAATTACGGAGGGGGGGCACTTTGTGCCCCCCCCCTAGTCTCCCGAAAGTTTCAAAAAGCCTAGTCTGGATAGGGTTAAGAAACTGGAGTACTCAACATCGCCTTTGTTTCTTATAAAAAATGAGTGTATATAAGTGTTCATTCTTCCACATGATAATTTTTTGAAACACTCGCAAGGGCCCCCTCACGGCTTCTTTATTTTGTTGATAAATTTTTTTTTGTGGATGAGTTTATTCTGGATGTGAGTTATGAGGATCTGGATATGCTTGCTTTTGGGGACATCCTAAATTCACAGTTGTGCGACTGGATTTGAGTTTTGCCTCCACCCTGCTGAGCCTCCTTCCTGCCGAGCGTTTTGGCCATTTTTGGTGTAGAAAAAAAAGGGATTGTTAGTGATTGTCTCTTTACCGATAAGGGAAACGTGATTGTCAAGTCAAGGCCAAGAAGCGTGTGCGTTTGCTCGCGGGACTGCCAGGGTTTGCCGTTGAAAATTTTATCCATGAGCAAATGAAGATTGTTTTAACCAAAACCAGATTTAATTTTACCGACAAAGTCTCAGATTTGCCGACAAATTCTTACCTGGGGGAGGGGGATGACCGCCCCCACACCCCCACAAATTCCGCCACTGGCAAAAAACACCGAACACAACTTAATAAAATAAACAAGGAAAGCAAAACCAGTTGTACATTAATATGCATCAAATTCATCCAAAAGATATTTTCTTGTTCAAAGTGGCACCTTCTTCCTTCTGCACGCATCATGCATTGTAATATATTTACTTATTCTATTTATCTATTTATTTATCTATTTATTTATTAAGGTGATTGCTGCGGTAGCCGCCTTTCAGACTTCAACATCAGAATTGGCAACAGCACGACAGGAAATGGGGACAATAATTCTGCTTGTGCTGTCAATCAAGGAATTGCACAAGGTGCCACGAAAACATTTCTTTGCAGACCACGTATTTATGGCAGATACCTTTACGTTCAGTCAAACATAACACCAGAACTGACTCTTTGTGAGGTGCAAGTTTTTGGAGAATAAAAGACATCGCAAAATTCTCCTTTCTGGAGGAAATACAATAGGAAGTGAAGATATCATTAACAATTGACGAGCTCTATTTGAGTCAACAGCATAAAAAGATGACATTGAAATTACACAATGTTTAACAATTGATGAGCTCTATTTGAGTCAACAGCACAAAATGATGACATTGAAATTACACAATGTTTCTTTCTCTTCAATTCTAACATGTTCATATATTTTCACAAGATTCTGAAAGCTTTTAACCAATTCGCCAATGACCCTGACTGATTCAATAATATACCATAGACTATGAATATACATGCAACACAATTTACCGATCGACTCTTCGTTCTTAAACAGAGTACATATTTTCCAACTCTCGTGGTTCTGTGCCCTTTAAGCCTCAGCGAACACTGCTATATTCTATTATGTAACGAAAAAGATGTCGCATTGATATAGCCCTTTTTGTACACATTAATGCTCAAATAGACACCTACAATGATAATTGGACTACTTTAATTCATTAATTTTATTCGTTAATTTTCTTCTATTTTTGCTGTCTTTTGCGAAGGGAAACCTTGGGATAAGCTCTTGTCTCTAAATCAGGGGATCTTTTAACATACAAACTAGTGGGGGAGGATTCTCAATTAGACCCTAAGGTTTCCGAACATGTCCAACCATTCCCCACTTGTAAGTGCCCTCTTGTTCAAAATTGCTTAAAAAAATTATTTTTCATGATATTTGTTTACTGTTCGTTTGTGTTGTTTGGCTTGAGTACTTTTCAACCTGCACAAAGCAAACGTAATTTTTCGCTTTCAATTTGATTACAGTAAGAAGTCCTTTTCCTATAAAATACACCAATAGAAATTGTTTAAAAGATCCCCGCTCTACATAGGTATGTAGCAATGAATTATTTAATCTTATACAAAACCACATTAATTTACCAAATTTTACTCCGCTTTGCATTACCACATTACGTTAGCATTACCACATTACGCCATTCTTCAATAAGCTTTCCTCGCATCTTAGCCTAGATCTTTTCTTCTTTATTGCATCGCCTTGCTTCATTATTACATCCTAAGCACATCCTTCGACTGCAAACTTATTTTTTGTGTAGAATCGTATAAATAAGGATGGGCTCCGACGCAAGTTGGAAAGTGGGGAGGGGGCCAAGGGAGATTATCAAAGCAAATGAATTTATAAAAACTTTATTGTTTTGCAAAAAGTGGAGTGGCCATGGCCTCCCGCCCCCGGCCCCCCTTCATCGGAGGCTGATAATAGTGGAGTTGGTTAGAGATTATTCAACTGGAGCAAACCTAAAACAATTTTCTCTCTGCATTTTCTCTAAAAAAAGACTTTGTGAGATCGTTTAACTTATATATTTAACAATAGTTCTGAATTTTCATATAACTACGAGCAATGAAAGATGAAGCATAAATAATAAAAAATGCCAAACCTTTGTTGTCATTAATCGTCCCACTAATACTTATTGATAGGTAAATTATCATTTAGGAAGAGACCATCCCACTCATTCAACAGGCATCCCACAGATTGACAACCATCCCTTGAAACTGTAGTTGCACGACACATAACCCTATTTGACAAGAAAATTGCTGAGGGATAGGTGGTGGTAAGCACTGTCAGATCAGGGCCGCTGAGAGGGGCAAACGTCGAGGGCAAATTGCCCCAAAACGTCGAGGCCTAGCTTCATAAAGTAATGAATTCTATTTTAAGAATAGAAGGGGCTATTACGGAATTTATTTCCCGTAACGTATGTGTTGGGGCCCAGACCTTCCTTGGTATCTTAAGACCCCACACAGTTATTGTTATTACATTCGGTAGTGTAATACGTGTCGAGATACACGGCGGCATGTAGAGTTTTAATTATAATGTTGATTTTATATTTGATTTAAAGCAGTAGTAAATAACATGTTTTGAATCTCAATACCTAATAAGGACAAACGTATGGAAAATATCAATCGACAAGTCTCAGTCAACGTGAATATGTATGTTGCAACTCGTAACAAGTTAGTTGGTTGGAGTAGAGTTGAAGTAATGATGGTGATCGGCGAAAATGTGAAACAGAATATTGATGGATTTGATACAAAATAGTTACACAAAATGGTGATATTTCTCTGAGTCTTCATCTTACACTTCGTTTATCATTAAATATTAAGATAGGGGCACCGCTAGAAATAGTGGTCCCAACAGTATGGAAGCGATAGTTTCACAAGGTTTCAAAAATTAGCGGAAAATTCCAAAATTTTCTCCTTTTGCGTCAGGAAAGAAACCCATAAGGAGGTGTAGATGAGTTGAAGCAATCACTTCGAGGATAGACACATCGCCTCAGAAGGATACAAATGTCTGTCGTGCCGGACGGACGGGATAGAAAAAACTGAAAAGACTAATTTCACGTATTCAAATATTCTATTCTATCCGAACTTGATGTAAATTTGAAATATTTCTAACAATCAAATATTAGTTTGAAACGTTATCATACATTTTGAACAACTATATTTCTCAACATTTGGAAATTTTAAGGCCAAAAGTACCAATGGATCATCGTGACGGATGGACGTGACCGACGGACTGGAAAATTTCGTTTGAGATTAAAAGCACGTCATTTGTTATCAACATCTAGTAGAGGTGAAAAATGATTGATGTCAATCGTTTATTTGACAAATGAAATCCCATGTCCGTCACGAATTTTTCAGAAATTTTTCCTCTTTAAGGCCGGTTTACACGATCATATTCAGGTCACATTTGCATCACATATTTTATGTGATGCAAATGTGATGTGATCGTGTAAACGACCTTACAAGTTGCTTGAAGTTGTACGAAGCAGCAAGAATTAATCCTTTTTGATTGCCTGTTAATTTGATGTCACAGATTTTTCATTTGACCAGTGATCAAATGGAAATGTCTGTGATGCAATTTTTTCAAAGGCACCGACAAGTCTATGTGATGCAAATGTGACCTGAATATGATCGTGTAAAAAACCGGCCTTTAGAAATAGCGACAAAAACTGTCCTTTTGCTTTACCTGTGATATGGTACCCCTACACCAATATTTATGTTGATAATACAGGCAGAAATACCGATTCTTTTGTTTTCAAACAGCTTACGATTGTCCGTCCGTCACAATATTCCGGTCAAAATGTTAACCAAAAATAAAGAAATATGCTGAAAAAGCCTTGAACAAAAATAGCCACATTTTAAAGTGTCTATTTTTCTGTCTTTTCAAATAATTATTCAACAATTTCAATCACTTTAAGAAGTATTTCTGATCAAACCACTGATCCAAAGTGCGAATTCTAGCCACACTTCTCCAATTTTATACAGTATTCTCTCCAATTAACGGACACTCTAAAAGGCGGACACCTCTGATTAGCGGACAAATTTTTTCCCCCGATCGTTTTCTGGTCAAAGTCTCATAAAAAACTTTCTAAAAAGCGGACACTTAATTAGCGGACACTCTAATTAACGGGCAATATTGTTTGCACAAAATAGTCAATTTGGCTTTTTTTCTTTTCGATTAGCGGACAGTACAAAATTTTTAGGAACCAGCAAACAACAAAATAAGGCGAGTGAATATTTGTTTAAATATTTATTTCAAGCACTTTGACACTTGACTATCTAGTTAGCTTTTTACAGCTTCGAGCTTCTTTACAGCCCAGTTTACTAACTTTTTTGTCCATGAAAGTGCTGTGTTACGCTCAATTTGGTTATTTTTTCGTTTTTTGGCGTCTAAGTTAAACCCGATAGCTACAAATTACCCAGACTACACCCAGAGGTGGCGTCAAAAACCTGGTAATTTAAATCTGCAAATTTTTCCTTATGTAATTAACGAAAGCTCCATAGGGAGTAAATTAGGGGATGGACAACTTTAGCGGTAGGGTAGTGGTGGAAAGAAGGTGATGTTTCACTGCAGTTATTTTATAAACCGTTTTTTTCTGCTTAGAGCTCGGAGATTTTTACCAAGAAAGTTTTCTAGAATCTAA